TACGTGATACGGGTAGTCCCCATTAGAGGTTCACGGCGCCTTAAGCTCGTTGAACAGGCTTTGTGTGAAATATAACACAGTCTAGGACTGCTTTTGTATCCTGGTGGTCCAGCGGTTAGCGTACCCAGGTCACAGTCATGGGCTCGTGGGCCGTGGGTTCGAATCCTGGCGGGTTGAGGTGTTGATTGTATTTAGAAGATCGCTTGCTTTATTGGGCTAATGAAATATATATGGATCCTCGTGTTTCGAAGCCGGATTTGGTAAAACGTTACTCTGACCACCTATGTGAAACGGGTAGTCCCCATTAGAGGTTCACGGCGCCTTAAGCTCATTGAACAGGCTTTGTGTGAAATATAACAAAGTCTAGGACTGCTTTTGTATCCTGGTGGTCCAGCGGTTAGCGTTCCCGGGTCACAGTCATGGGCTCGTGGGCCGTAGGTTCGAATCCTGGCGGGTTGAGGTGTTGATAGCATATATATATATATGCAAGTTCATACATTCATTATTATTCTGCCCACCATAATAGAGTCAAATAGTCAGTATTTTCAACAGTGTTTTTACGTGCTTTCAGAATTTGCAGCCCGGAATTCATTGATGAGGAATATAAATATATCAATAATATTGGCTCAAACCTTAAATACCCTTGATCTTTCATAGACAAATGCCTGAACATTACTAAGAAATCTTTTTATAGAACTGATCCCAAGCCCACCCATGACCATAAGAATCTCTTAGTATTACCATTTCACAAAAATTTCTCTCAAATTCCTTTACAACTAAAAACCTGGAACGTCTTTGTGGCATTTAAAAACTCATGCACTGTTAAACAAATGTTAATCAAGAACTCCCCCAACAACACAATTGGTTGCATTTATAAAGTTCCTTGCAAGGAAAGTAATATGTTTTACTTAGGCCAGACAGGTAAAGATGTTGTAACTAAACTTAAACAATATAAATATAGTGTTAGGACAGGCCAGGAATCCAATGCTCTGTTTGTTCATCTGAGGGACAATAAACATTGCATTGACTGGGACAATGCCTCCTCAATATTACCTTGTAATTCAATTGACAGTAGGAACATTATAGAATCTAGTCTCATTAAACATACCGAAGCAGTCAACATGAATTTGAGTAATGGCATGTACAAACTGGACCATTTTGTAATTAAGAAGATTTGTAACCAGGTGAGAAGGTTGGGTCACCTTACCCTCTGACCTGATTGACGACCGTTGCGGTGCTTTTTAAAGATTAGAAAGGTCATTACCTAATACCTGACCATTGTGGACCTGATCTCACCCTCCTCTGTATATATACACCTTGTTTTGTACTTCTCCTTAGTCTGTACTCACCCCTGAAGATGTGAATTACACGAAAGCGCTTGGGAACTTCATGTTTTCTTCTTTCCCTTTGGTTATCAGCATATATATATATATATATATATATATATATATATATATATATATATATATATATATATATATATATATATATATATATATATATATATATATATATATATATATATATATATATATAGCCTATATTAGGGTGTGTCATACGGAGGCGAATTTTTTTTTTGAGTTTGAAAAATCGGCCCATGGTATTAATGATGTAGTTCTATGTGCAGAATCATGTGATATCTTCAGATTCGAAAAGTTTTCATTTTTTGCTAGGTAAATTTTAACTTGAAATCTTATGAAAATTCAGTATTCCCACCCTTTTACCAACACCACTAAATAGCTTATTTAAAGTAAAGTAAATGTATCAGGTTCATTTATTAGGATGAAAATGATCCAGAATAGCGAAACGAATGATCTTGACACATTTATTAAATTTAATATTCCTTTAGAAAACAAAATCATCAAATACAAAAACCGGTTTTACTACTATGACCCGGTGTTGCTGCACACCATAGAGAACATGTCTTTCTTGCTTCTGTTTCTACTCATCACCTCCCTGCTGACCACCTGAGCTCGGATGTAGCCTTCCCTCCTCTCCTGGCTGTACACGTGACTGCTGGCCTCGCTCACTCGCTGTACACAACGCTCTATACTCTGGGTGTGCGAGGTGCCAGGCAGGGACATGCATGGGGTTGTCCAGGAAAGCGCTGACTTGAACATTGGTGAGGCTGCAGGTAAGAGAGGGCTCACTGCCAGCCTGGATGTTATCCAGATCTATGAGATCAGTGAGGGTCTTGGCACCTAGATTGACTTCAGGAGTCTTCCTGACCCTGAAGGAATCGTCACCAACTGATTCGTCATGCCCAGATCCTCTCATAAGTCTCATATCCAAGATCTTTTTGACTGTCACTCTTCTCTCCTCCTCATCCTTACTGCAGAGCATTGTCTGCAGAACTGCCTCGGGATGAGCATACCGGGAAGATCTCCTCACAGTCTGCTCCACAATCTGAACAACCTTCCTTGGCTGACTCCTCAGGAGCTCAAGCTGGAAGAGAACATGCCTCGGACCTTCGGAGAACGATGACTTGACCTTGGTGTTGAACCAATTTGGCAAGTAGACACTCACGATGAATTGGACAATAAGTCTCAGGTTGTGAAGCTGGTTCCTTTCAGTTTATGATGAGCGACCCAAATTCTGCAGAACCTGAGAGCCGTTGTGAGCCACCTAGAATGTGAGACTGGACCTATCTGCAGGTAAGCAAGTCTATCAGGCATGACCCCAGTTTTGATGGCACTGCAAATCATGTAACCATAGTACTGGTCAGTACTCAGGTCGTCAATGACAGTATGTGCAAGCTCAACGAGTGGAGGGCCAACTGTGATTTTTTCAAAGCTCGGATTTATTTCTAACTCAGTGGCAGAGTCCAGCATCTTGCCAAGAGGACCAGACCATCTGTTGTTTGAAAGAGTCTTGCCATCCAGCTCCTGGATCAGATGTCTGAGTGGCAACTCGTTGGTGTGGAGGTCACAAACAATCCAGACCAGCTTCCTCCCAATCTTCCGCTCTATCCACTGTATGACCCCCCCTTGCCACCCTGTGTTCGTGTTGATGCTGTCCCCTCCAATGGCCTGCAGGGTCTGGTCTACGTTCCTCTCTCTGAGCCAGTTCATAATGTTATCTGCCACTATCTCAGCTGGTTTCCTGATGTCATCTTTCTCTGGAGTGAAATGCCACAAATACTTCCCTCCTGGTTCACTGCAGCAGGAATAGTGTTCCTCCTTCACCATGGCAGGGAACAACTTGTCAGAATCTCCAACTTTCATGAACTCTTTAGTGTCATCCCTTCTCCCATCAAAGAACAAACAATTGATTCCATTTTCTCTTATCCCCTTATCAAACTCCTCTTCTAGGTTACTGACAAGTTTCTCCTGAGCTCTCCTTACTTTGTTATGATCTATCACCAGGTGAACATCATCAGGTGTTATCAAACCACCGTCAACCCAGGCAGCTGTTGCTATCTCTGCAGTTTCTCTGAGACCAGTGTGGTGCCGCATGCTGGCCAGAGCTATGCTCGGGATATCTTTCCTATTTCGAATCTTATGCCTGGAAGGTTTGGGATCATTATTTTCTGGGTTAGGGACAAAGTCACCATTCTCCTGGTCAGCACTCGGATCAGCCATGGGGAAGTCATTAAACTCTGAATCAGCTTGACTCCAATCATCGGCCTTTTTTACCTCACCCTGGGCCTTCTCAAGTCTCTTTTCCTCGGCAACTCTTCTCCTCTTCTGCCTCTCTGTGGCAGCCTCCTGTCTCTTGGACTCCGGCATATCTTGGCTAGAAATCATCAGAGCCTCTATACTGCCAGTCTTCTCTCTCTGTGCTTTGACAAATGCCAGTTCGATCACAGGAATCTTCAGTTCACGCTTTCAAATACAGGAGATGTGGGCCTCGGATTTACAGTCACGATCGCATCCAAACTCAGGACAGAGAACAATTGGGCACTTGCAAGTAATTATGTCAAGTAACTGGTCCAGTTGCTTGGCAAAGCTGTCCTTAACTGCAAGTTTTCCTCTCCCAAGAGAGATATCTCTTGCCTTTTCCCAACTGGCTAGCAGTCTCTCAATAATCTTCTTCTGACTTGTTATGACTGGAGGCTTGAACTGAGCGTTAGCCAGAGTGTACTGTGCCAAGACAGCTTTGGTCATATCACTGGCAATGTCTTTGTTTGTGTAAGTTCTTTGGTTCTTTTCACTGATTTGCCTGATTAAAACACCGTATCTCAAAGCATCTCTCAATGTAGGCAACTCCGACTTCAGGAGCTCTCTCCCAGACCCAAGATAGTGACTGAGATGGCTGGATTTTTGGTTCCTCGTCCTGACACAAGCAGCCATCGCAAATATTATCAACTTATAAATGCATCAGAATCTGAAACAGAAAAAAATATTGTTAGTTGGGTTGTTAAAGAATGAAGTCAGAAAGCAATGTTCACTATTTAATTGTAATGCACTAATGCAGCTGTACGTTAGATTTTCGATAAATTTCACGCTATAATTTACCTAGCAAAAGGTTGCAAAATATTGAAACTGAAATTATTTTCTGTTTATATACACTAAAATCTACCAAAAAAGTGATGGGCCATTAGTTCTAGCTGATCTTCCCTCTTATGACACACCCTAATATATATATATATATATATATATATATATATATATATATATATATATATATATATATATATATATATATGATTTATCAGCATATACCTGGATCACGCGCACCTACAGTGATATTATTGCATATATATATATATATATATATATATATATATATATATATATATATATATATATATATATATATATATATATATATGCACGAAAGCGCTTGGGAACTTCGTGTTTTCTTCTTTTCCTTGTGGTTATCAGCATATATATATATATATATATATATATATATATATATATATATATATATATATATATATATATATATATATATATATATATATATATATATATATATATATATATATATATATATATATATATATATATATATATATATATATATATATATATATATATATATATATATATATATTAATTTTTCAGCCTCATCGTTCGTGACTTAGCTTCAGCAAACTTACCAATTATTTCATCAAAATTAACTGTCTTGGCACATTCATTTTCGATAGAAATCATAGTTAGGCTGTTTAATCTTGCCTGAGTCATGCTAGAACGAAGATAATTTTTGATGAGTTTCTGTTTAGAGAAACTTCTTTCACATGATGCAACAGACACACATATAGTTAAAAAGAATCTCAGGCACAATGACAAGTTTGGCAAGGTTTCACAAAAGTCCCATTTGACAATAAACTTCAGGAACTGCAAGACTGTCCATTTATTTGCTTCTTCAGGTGTGATTTTGGCAGCCTCCATGTGTCTGCATAGTCGCATAATTTCTACTGTGACATCCTCATCAGAAATTTCATTAAAAATCTTGGTCATGCTTGAATTTGAAATACTCCCCTGAAGTTGTTCTTCTTTTGCAGAAAGCAAGTAGCTTCGCTGAATAGCTGCAAATATTAACAAGATGTTATCCATGGCCTCTGAACGAGCATCCAGTTCTAGACTAAATCGATATAACCATTCAAACATTGATCTCCTCATTTCCTCTTGCATTGTCAGTCCAGCATCCCTAGCCATCTCTGCTGGCATCATTTTCTTACGCCTTATCCTCCCCCTTGTTTCCATGGAGATGCCCATTTCTTCACATTGTGTAGTTGCATATTGAATCGCTCTCTCCACAATTTCATTCCGCTGACCTCGAAGAAACAATTTAAAACCATTGAGCTTTACAGTGCACGTTTCAAGACTTATACCTTCTGTTTGCATATACTTCTGTGTGAGATTCACTTCTTCCAGTACATCACACCAAAAAGAAAGACAACCCGAAAAATAAAAATCACATACAGCTTTAAGCAAAAGCTTCAGCTGATCCTCTTGTGTCAACATTTTCTTTTTGATCCGTCAATGTTTCCAGGGGTATGATCAGCTTCTCAAATTGTTTCTTGAGAGGCTTTACGGCATCATGATGTGCACTCCATCTAGTCTGAGAAAGTCTTTTGTCTGTCAAGTTCATATTTTCTTTCAGTTCTTCCCATCGGTGAGTTGAAAGTGAAAAAAATCAATAAAGTTTCTCTACAGTTCCAAAGAATGTTACACATAAAGGATTGGTTCCAAAAGAGTGTACCCCACAAAGGTTCAAGGAATGATTGGCACAAGGCACAAACAAAACCTTTGGATTTATTTCTTTGATTTTCTTCTGAACAGCTCCATGAATACCAGCCATAGTTGCAGCAGTATCATATCCTTGACTGCGGCAAAAGTTAATGTCCAGTCCATCACTCCAAATTACTCAGGATATCCTTTGTGAGCTCATTTGCAGTTTTTCCAGCAATAGGAAAGAAACTCAAGAAAGATTCCCTTACTTCAACAGAATCACCTTCAATATGAACATATCTACTCACTTCGGACATCTGATCTGTATGAGAAATATCAGGTATACTGTCAAAAAGAATTCCAAAATACTTGGCCTTCTTGATGTCAGCCAAAAATTTTTCCTTAACATTATTTCCTAGAAGACAGACGAATTCATTCTGAATATTTGGTGACAAATAAGAGCTCACTCTCCTTCCAGATGTCTGAGATGGAATAGCATGCTTAACCTCCAAAAGATGTTCTTTCAAAACAGGATCATAGTTTGATAGTAACTCCACCAGTTCCAGGAAATTGCCTTTGTTTATTTGAAAATGAGATGGATGAAGGGGCAATTAAATTGAATGACGAAACTTTCGCACTGATAACTAGTAAGTTGTACTTAAATTTTGTAAAAAAAAAAAAAGGCTACAGAGGACAGATATTTATTTATTTATTTATGAGCCTCATGGCACCCCTCTGGCTGTCACCCGGAGCGGACTGCCCCCCCCCGCCCCCCTTAGTACGCCATTGATGTTACATGCATATGTGTGTGGAAACAATACACTGGGGAAGCTGACACCTGCGGTTGATCAGTTACTCAATCCCTAGTCTGAAATGCCTTATGGGAAAGAATATTATGTACAATGGCAAAATTGGAAAATTCTGACTTACAAAACAAAAATATTACTGCCAATATCAACACAATAGTGGAAATCGTTAACTTGAGAAACAAATCCCACAAGAACATGGCAAAAATAAATCTCGCCTATTTCGTGTATAAGAACGCTCCTTCTTAGCAATGTACAACCTTTGCAACTATAATCACCCTGGATGAATGAGTGTGTGGTGCTTGACTCTTCGACGAGACATTCATTTTTGTTGAGAGCAATAGTACAGTTGTGAAGGGTTCTACCACGGAATGGCTGAAATTTTACAGTATGATAATATAGAACTATCATATTTGTAGTTTGAAAAGATGTGTCTATGACATTACTAAAAAAACTATCATATTTTAATTTGAAAAGATGTGTCTATGACATCATTAACATTTGTCATGCGGTTTGAAAAATGTGTCTATGACATCATTAGTATTAATAACATTAATAACCTAAAATATTTGCGGTTTGAACATTATTATAGAACTATCTTATTTGTAATTTGAAAATATGTGTCTATGACATCATTAAAATAAAACTAAAACTATCATATTTGTAGTTTAAAAATTATTAACATTATTAACCTGACATATTTGCGGTTTGAAAATTATTAACATTATCACCCAAAAAAATATCCTTGTCCTTCCATTTACAGTAAATTTATATAAATTATAATTAAAATAATTAAAGTATCAATAGATGAACTGGTGAAAAATAAATACTTGAAATTATATATATTAAAACACGTAAGGCACCAATAAAATAAAAATAACCTACCACGATGGCTAACGTGTGATGGTATGGTGTAGAAATATATATTTGTTTTTATAAATATAGTGCATGTCTGTAAAATACCAATTCCTTGTAGGCTTAACGTGAAGAATCCTTTCTGGAATTTCTTGAATATTTGAAAATGTTGCCGCAATCCCGTAGACTTGCGTGTGTCACTCGCAGGAGACACAGCTGAGACGATGGTCCCAGTGACTAGGTCACTGTCCATGAAAATCCTGAGTACCGGTAGAGCAAATGGCTGCTCCCTGCCAGTGAACTTAAGGACTCTGGGGTTCACTGGGTGCACTAGTGCATCCATCACACCATACTTCATAATGCTTACACCATCTCTTGTGATCGGAGATGTGTCATCACTAGGGTGGGGGGGTGCTAGGGTGCTGGTAACAGGGGTTTACTCAAGCCATACGAAAGAATTTTGCTTACAGGATGTTGGTTGATGAGTAGTCACAACAACTGTAACAGTGAACGATTAATTTGCAGAACTAATGTTCACTTCAGCTTACAGGAGTGTTGCCATATAACAACAATTTTCAATAACTAAGTAATGGTTACGAAAAAAAAATTGGACATCATCTTGGAAGACAAAATAAATATAATTCAACAGAAAAGTTCTCACAACGGTATATATCCACGTGCACTTAGAAAAACAAATAAACTTCAGGAACAATACAAAAATTTCAGTTTCTATAAACAAAATTTGACACTGATCTCAGATAGGGATGCGGTCCTTTTCGCTGCCAGTAGGAGTAACAGGAGAACAGATCAACTCAACTGTTACTCCACTCCAGTGTGACGAATAACTTCTGTTATGAGAATTGTCACGGTTACTTGGAGTACACTTGACTAACTGTAAACTGTAGACTGTAGACTGATCCTGTAGACTGGTCACATTAAACTGACCCTAGATTGAGTCCTCTTAAGCTACGCTTTGCCAACTATGTAACAATATCTTATTTGTAACAGTTGGAACAGGAGATACGATTACCTCTAATGTTTCTACTGTAGATTGGAGACTGAGGTCACCTTGAGCTGCGCAGGTCACACTCGTAACAGGCACTGGTGAATGTTTGTTACCTTGTATAGTATACGTGCTAAAATATAAATAAATGTTTATTGGATCTTCTGTCGTGAAATCCAATATGTTCCTTTGTTTTTATTTATTATAAAGAGTTCTGTGTACACTTTCAAAAATGGATTATCACCGTAACTTAATCACTATAGCTATGCGTGTTAAATGAGGACGGAGGCTATGTTAAATAGCTCTGCTAAGTACGTCCTGTCGATGAGATAGTTGAGTGAGAATAGGTAGGGACCCATCAAGGGAAGAACGGATATATATCAGACGTTCTCCCTCGAGGGAAGACGGAACCATCCACGATGCCTCTAAATAACGTCTTCCTCTAGTCAGGGTTTTCAAACTAAAGCCCGAAAATGGTGGCCAGCAAGCCGGTTACTTAATGCTTAACTCAGCACGAAGTGTATCAGGTACGACAATTTGTGTAATCATACCCTCAGTCGTATGCTTGGAACGATGGAGTATGTCTTGTTGTAGGTGAAATTGACTGAATGGAAGAGGTAACTTTGGAAGATTGTTAACCTCCCCCGACTCTAGAGCAAAAATGACTGCAGACCACAAAGGATGCAGTCGTTGTTCATTCTTCAATTGCGATAGAGAGAACGAAGATACAGGGTTCATTGGTGCTATATTTCTATAGACAAGATGTGTGCGACCAAATTCGCACGTCCCGGTAAATACTGGAAGACGGGTTCGAACTCTTGGATGGTTAGATACTAGAGTGCTCATCTGCCTGAAAGATTCTTACCGTGGAACAGCTCTGTAACTGCCACGTGATCAGTGTGAACTGTTATTTTATAAACACAAATTAAATCTTTAAACTTCTTCAATTCCCAATCAACAGCTAACGCTTCAATATGCGTTACTGAATAACGTGCCTCGGCATCATTAAGTTTTCGACTTGCAAAAGCAATCACTCGAAGTTTACCTCTTGTGTTTCGCTGCATGAGTACAGCACCAAGTCCTTGTCCCGAGGCGTCGGTACACAGAGTAAATGGTTAAGTCAAGTCAGGGAATGCTAAAACGGGAGCATTGGTAAGTGCGTTCTTTAATGCAATAAAATTATCCTCATGTTCTGCATTCCAGACAAAAATTGCGACCTTCCTGAGAAGCTTCGTCAAAGATGAAGATAACGACGCATAACCCATAATAAAAGAACGATAATATCCAGACAAACCTAAAAAACTGCGCACCTAATCAATGTTTGTAGGACGAGGGAACTGTGCTACAGCTTTCACTTTGGTATCAACTGTATGAATTCCATCTCCGTCAACTAAATGACCAAGGAATTGGATTCTGGATTTTAAAAAATCGCACTTAGAGAGTTATACTTTTAGTCCTGCCAAAGAAAGTTTTTGAAACACTTCATGTAGTTTATCAATATGACTGTCTGCATCCTTACTGACGAAGATTAAATCATTTAAGTAGGTAAACACTGTGGTGCCTATTAAACCAGCAAACAAAGTGTTAATCATTCTTTGAAAAGTCAGTGGAGCATTACGGAGACCGAATGGCATCCGTAAAAACTTAAAATGGCGCAAAGGAGTACTGAAAGCAGTAATCTCTCGAGACTTCTCGTCAAGAGGAATTTGTCAATACCCGTATAATCCTTGCCTAAAGACTACTAAATATCACTCAGGACATGCATTGGGTACCTGTACGGGATAGTACTTTCGTTGAATCACCTAAAATCAATGACTGGGCGCCAACCACCATCTTTCTTGGAGACTAAAAACAAAGGACTATTGAAAGGCGATTTTGAATGTGTGATAACCTCCTGGTCTAACATGTCCTGTACCATGTCCTGAACTACAGCGCGCTGGCTATGTGGTAGTCGGTAAGCTGGTATGTAAATTGGGTGTGTTCTCGGTTTTAAGGATATGTGGTGTGAGATTAAATTTGTGTGACCTAACTGCTCCCCAGGTAAAGCTACAATGTTTCCATAGGCGTCAAGCAACTCCAGGAGTCTAGTCTTGCCTTGAGGGTGATCAATCACCTTAACATGTGGTTATATTTGATCTATCCTCTCCTGTCTGGACAACACATTTACCCTTGCGGAGAGCAATTGTTCTGACTTGCGTATGGCACTGAAGGAAACACCATTAACCGTGATAGAATGTTTGCTTGGGTGAACATGTATCAAATTGGATTGAAGAGGTGGAAGACCTGTTAAACTGTCAGCTGGTAAATGAAAGTCTTGGACTACATAAAAATCTGCAGAAAAGTACGTACCACGTCTAGAAAAACGTATTGGCAATGTTACCGTTCCTGTTATGTCCAACAGCATACCGGAAACACCTGAGAGGTCAGTGTCCATAAGTCCAACTAAAAATGTTCGGTGAGGGGATCTTCGTTGAAGTTCTGGATAGGACGTTAAAATGATGACATTCGCGCATGCACCTGTTATCAATGTCCAGGGCAAGCTTGACTGGCCCAACCCTCGCCTGAACCGATAACACGTTCGGCTTGTTCAGCACTGCTATTAAAGAGGCTGCAACCCCAAGTGTTGTCGCACGTCGGTACTGGAGTACTTAACCCACGTCAGTCTGAACCTGGTGCTGGTCCTTCCCTAACTTCTTATGAAAACGACGGTAACGGTTTTTTTTTTTTTTTAGCCCACCCGGGCACAGGTCACTGAACCACATCGCGGCCTGGGGTGCGAAAATGTAATAATAATAAAAATAATAATTCATAGTAAATAAAATTTATAATAAAAAATAAATAATTGAAAAGAAAATAATAAAGATACTACTACTACTACTACTACTACTACTACTACTACTAATAATAATAATAATAATAATAATAATAAAGAATCATAAATAAATACAAAAATTAAATAAGATCAAAAGTGAGAAATAATATATGTATGTTGTGTTGCCAATAGTAAGAGAAACAATTGAGACCCTGCAATTGTGTGTAAATGAGGCAGAAAGTCAGATCAGCAACCTGGGACTTGGTTACAATTTTCGTGATGCCATATGTCAGCAGGGTCTACCATTAGACAATACATTATGCTTCCTTTATCTTCCCAGGCAGTAGTACCTCCTTGCTTGGTAGCTGCCTACTACCTACTACCTGTGTTTTGTTACCTGTGATACGTCAATCCCTATCTCCTTACATCGTCGGAGTGCTAAACATTCTTCCGTAGTATGGGCGGGAGACTCATGGTATATACACCACATATCATCTGTCTGGTCTGAATCAGTCCTGGGGTGAGCAGCTGCTGCGTAAGTCTTAGATGGGTTTTGTCGTTGTCTTAATTGAAAAGTTAATTTATTCTTAGATTTAGCACCACTACGCTAGACCTGGTAACAATAATCAACTGTATGCTCATTCTTCCTGCAATGCCTGCATACTAACTGTTGCTTCATGTTTAGGGCCGAATTCTTAGGAACTCACTGTTGAATTGGCGCCACAGTTGTTACCGTCCTCGCTAGCGGAGTGCATGGTGTCTTAGTAGCGAGCGTAGCTGCGTAATCCAAAATATCATCAGTGGGCTTCTAATTAGTTGTCTTCGCCTGATTATATACTGGGTGACGAATGGCCAGTAGAAAATAAAGCAATTCCATCAATTGTGCAAAATTTTCCTTGGACATTCTGTCTTGTGAGTCCACCCACGCTGAATTACGAAAATTAGCCAGGATATCCTGTTGAACTTCGCCAACAAGCGAAACACATGTCATGGTATCTTCCACGCGTATCACGCTGGGAATACAATCAACCCATCTAAAAATCCAAATAAGGTGATCTTGCTTTGATCCCAATTCAAAGAGACCAATGAGTGTCTTCCTAAACTTCATATATGTAGGATGTTCAAACCCACTATCATCTAAATGTCTGCTAGCATAACTGCCTAATTTGATGTGACCATGTACTAAAGACTTGCGTTCTTTATCTCCCGTTATTTAGATGGTTTTCATCGCATCCTCACGTGACCTTATACATGTCATTACACGATAATTATCTTCTGCCGTAAACTCGCAAACGCGATCGTCACACGGTATGACTTGCAGAACTTGAGACTTGTTAGATGACACGCCTGAACTATCTGTAGCCATGGTTAAAGTGTTGTTAGTTAACTTAGACCTAACTGCAACACTACTGGATGCGGGAGGGAAAGAAGGATTCTGTGACACACTATCAGACTGTAGAAAGTGAAGGAACTTACTACCCAAAATGAGGCATGGTGTCGTATGTACCACCTGACCTAAGGGTTCTATGGTTTATATCATCAA